CTGGTGACGCTTGCCTTCTACAGCTAAGATGATGAACAACAGCTCGACCTAGAGCTGGGCTGCTGTGAGTCGCCAGCGACAGTGTAGGCTGCAGTGGGCTGCCATGAGCTACGTGAGTGGCTGGCAGCCAGTGTGAGCGGCTGGCAGCCGATGTGAGCTGCCGGGAGCCGCTGTGAGCAGCCGACCAATGACCAGCGACCGATTGCCCCACCTAGGAAGAGCACAATGGTCATACCAACATGGGCCAGTGAAGCGACGTCCTCCACAACTAGACTGAAAAACAATTTGTTTTTCAGCAATTTGTCTGTCTGTTCCCCTCCCCCCAATTCCCCAATAAAAATCTTAAAAAATATATATTGCCTTAAAAAACAAACAAAAACAAACCAGAATACCTACATGTAAGAATTGCCTGTATGTAAAATTAGTGAATGACTGGATAGTCCTGAGATGCAAAATCCAAACTTTGAGGATTCCATTATTAGACTAATTCTCCTGAAGTTCAAAGCTGTTTTATGCATGCATTTCCCAAGTCTAGTACTGTACTTGGCCCTTGGTAGGGAAGTAATGGTTGAAGGATGTGAGGATATGTGGGTGATTGAATGAATAAATGAAAACTGATATAACTTCGTGGCTCAATGGCTGAGTTCAACAAAATTCCTGAGATGGTGTCATCGTAAGATTGGGAATATGGGAAGAACAGATTTTGAGGAAACTCTGATGAAAAGTTGAGTGTCTCTTGGAAAGCTGAGACATCTTTTTTTCAAGATTTTATTGGGGAATTGGGGGAGGGAACAGCTTTGGGGAATTGGGGAAGGGGAACAGACAAGTTGCTGTCCTTTTGTTCTTCAGTCTAGTTGTGGAGGACGTCGCTTCACTGGCCCATGTTGGTATTGTCATTGCGCTCTTCCCGGGTGAGGCAGATCAGTCACCAGCCGTTGGACAGCCGCTCATGGTAGCTAATGGCAGCTCATGTGGGTTGCTGGCTGCTGGCCGTTCACGCCGGCTGCCAGCCACTCACATTAGCTTACCGCAGCCCACTGCAGCCTATGTCGATGTTGGCGACTCACAGCAGCCCAGCTCCAGGTCGAGCTGTTCACCATCTTAGCTGTAGAGGGCAGTGTCACTGGCCCATGTGGTGTCTGAACCGGGGCCCTGCTGCTCAGAGCTCGCGCTCCCAAGCCAACTCTCAACCAAAGAACAACTCGGCCAGCCCCTGAAACATCTTTTTACTTACTTTATTGTATTTTTTATGGGGGAACAGTGTGGCTTTCCAGGACCCATCCAGTAGTCTCAACCCAGTTGTGAAGGGTGCAGTTCAGTGGCCCATGTGGGGATCGAACCGGCAACCTTGGTGTTATGAGCACTGTGCTCTAACCACCTGAGCTCACCTGCCGCCCGAGACATCTTTTTAGGTGAGTCAAAATTATACTTATGACCTGATTATTTCTTGCAATTTCAAGTATAGAAAATGAGTTATACAAACAGGAGATGTTAATCCTTTTGAGTGTAGAACGTAGAATCTGGGATTAGCTATAACCACCTAAATAACCTGCCATTTTCTCCATCTAGGGACCATTAGACTGAAATCACTATTAACAAAATTCTATTTGTGGTCTTTAGGCACATGTGTTAATTCTATTACCATTCAAGGACTGAGAATTTATAGTTCAGAAAAGTCCTAATTGGGAATCCTGGTTTTGTATTAACATACTAATTATAAACAGGAAAAACAGTAACATTTAAGGAAAAACAAGTAGGTAGTACAGAACTTTTGAATATTTAATTAAATGACAAAAAAGTTCTTTGCTATTTTAAACCCTTAAACACACCCGTGAACTGAAATGTACAGTAGATTAAGAGTTTTTGGTCTGGTGATCAGATAGTATTGATGTAGCAATTTCTTTGTACCCTCCTTTAAATATTTCTCAAGGACACTAGGAAATGCAATGTGACCTTTATTAAATACTTGGACTGTCTTACATACATTCAAAGCATTTAAAAATATGAAAATTTGGCTGCTCATTACACTTCCTAGAAGACAAATATCATGTATTTCCTCAAAACAAAAATTTTGCCAATTTCTCCCACCAGATCTGGGTTTGTCCACTAAATCTCTATGGTATGCAGAATGGATCCAAAAACCTAGCACTGACTTCCAGTGAAATATCAGCCACACACACACACACTCAACCTCTTAACCCACAAGAGCTAATATACTGCATAGATTTCCAGTATTCCTCTTGGCCCCTGGGTAGACCCACAGCCCTTTCGGCCACCAGGTAAGGTGTCCTCTGTATGTAGGCCTTGGAAATCAAGCACCAAATTGATTTGGGCTTTTTCATTTGCAATTCAGAGTGATCACCAATTCAACTGTGGCCTTTCCCCGTCAAAAAACTAGCATCCTGCTCAAGAAACTTAAAGAAATCTGTTTTCAACATAAAGAACACTGAGAATTTATTGGAAGGAACTAGATGCACGACGGAACAGGAAGGTAACCACCACAGTGAACAGGGACCAAGCCACAGGCCAAAGAATCACTTGGTGCTGCAAAATCTTTATTTGGCGGGGATTAAGAAACCATCCCCAGAAAACTGTCACGAAGAGAACGGATCATCTGATCAGGTAACGTGAGTATGCCCTCTGCAAAACAGACCTAAATCCTCACCTCCGAGTAAGTGCCACAAGTCTACCTACCTGTCTACCTTCCCACAGAACCTAATTTCCATGGAAAACATATTAAGCCAAACCCCTACAACACATTCAATGTATATTCACTTTGAAAAGCCCAAAAGGACAGTGGAATTACAAGTAAATTTATATTTTAGAGGTTTTCATGATGTAAAAAGTTAACATACAGTTGAATTTGTGCTAAAAAAAATGCCACCAACTCGCCTTGCTGGAGAGCCACCCTACTGCGGACTCATCAGTTTCTGAACCACGTGATCTTAGCAAGCATGGCCTTCCTGTTCTGCGGTGACTCTACCACTTGGCACTAGACAGGTGTACCCTGACTCAAATCCTGGAAATGGCCACTTACTGCCTCAGTGTATATTGAACAGTCACCCAAACTTAAGAGTCTGCTCTTCCAGCTTTCCAACCTAGAAGTGCCCCGTCTAAGTAAATCTACATAGGGTGAGGAACAGTCCGGAGGAAGACAGACTTATGGAAAGTATTCTTTTGCCACTAGCAGGCAAGATTCCATTTGGTGCCTCTATAATGCCCCCATGTAATGTCCCCCACTGAATGTGCTAACTCAGTGCTTTACAACCTCGGCTGACCACCGCTTTGCAAAGACCCACTGAGATACACCAGCTCAGCACAAGGGCAAGAAACCCGAGACATTCCCTAAGTTCCATGGCCGATGTGCATGCAGTGAGCCCATCACTGGCCTGAAGACAAGCTCTGGAAATCATTGCAAAGACTGCTTGTACTGGAGCCCGGGTAGGTAACTAAATGGTTTAAAGCAGGTGAAGATAAGGGTTACACCACAGGCATTCAAGTAAAACTAACAAGATACAGAAGGCAAATAGTTTACTTAGAAGCAAAAGCTACACTTTAATAATAAAAAACACAACCACAGAAAAGCAGAAGAGCAATGTAAAAACTGGATTCAAGCTACTGGTTCTTATATCCACGAATATATAACAGAATTACTTGTGCAGGTTTTTAAACATATTTACGGCTAGGCCTCCCTCTTAGAGAAGGCTGCGATGGAGATTGGTAAAGACCCAGGTATTTTTCAGAAGCCCTCTAGGGAGCTCTGATGTTAACTCCTGGTTGAGTTTTCTGATTTTAGGTTGACTGACGCACTTTGGATTTTTTTGGCCACTGTTTGGGGGTCTGGGGAGCTTTTCTTGCAGATTTATTAGCTGTAGTGAAGAACTTGGCCTCTGGCTTTTTGGGTGTCTGTCTTGGGTCTTTTTTCCCCAAGGGAGGGTTTCTTTCCTTCTCTGCCTCTTCTCTGATTCTTGGCTTCTTCCCTGGGCTCTTCCCTGGGGTTTTGAGCTCTGCTGTTTTCGGGGTCTCCAAAGCTGGGAAGGGCTTTCTCTTCTTCCCGCGAGGTGTGTTGGGACCAGGACCCTTTTGTGGAGACTTCTTTCCTGTGGCATGTTTTTGTCCCTAAGTAAAAGAAGAAAGTTAAATGTGGGGAAAAAGAAAACCAACTGACAATGTAACTCCAAGTTACTGTTTTGCTTATTTGGAATGAGGAATGGCTTTTCTTTTGGCCTCGCTGACATTTTGAAAGGCAGCTGTAGTCCGTTATTCGTGATTGTAAAAAGGACCCTGACGGTCTTCTGGTCCACTAGGAGGAAAGCCATCTTTCCCAATGGCTGAGGGCAGGGCCTGCTGGAAACACCCACCAGCACAGCAGGGAGACCTGCAACTCATCCAGGCCCTTCTTCACCTTTCAGCTATAAATTCCTTGCACTTGCATTAGGGCAGGGGGTTCCCAAACTGTGTGTGTAAAAACCAACTGGGGTGCCTGTCAGAAAAACCCATTTCCCTAACTCTGATTCAGAGTCTCTCTGAGGGGAGTGTTATAGGCCAGGAATCCTGAATTTTCCAAGCACCCCAGATGGCTTTTGCTGGTGACCCAAGGACAGCATTCTACCAACGAACTCTGTCCAATATAGAAGTAGGTAGGTAGTGTAAACAAAACAAAAACAACCACCAACAAAATTTTGTTTTTGAGCAATTATAAAATGATAAATTTAGGAAAATCTGAAAAACATCAAAAATATAAAAGACAAAACTCCCTAATAACTACCATGCAGTATTAAGTACTATTTACTACCTTTCTCCCATGAGTAAGTATGTATTTAAAAGCCAAATATTATGCCCTTTTCCCAGCTATTTCATTAGTATTTCCTAAGTGATATAAACTCTTACTAAACATTATTTTGAATAACTTTACAAAACTACGGCAAGGGTACATGACATGTTTTTCATTTTTGCTTCTACAGTGAACAATGAAGTAACTTCCATATTTATTACCCTGATCACATTTCCTAGATGGGTTCAAGGGGCTTACAGACTTTTAAGGGTTTTGATATACATCACCCTATCAGCTATGCTTTCCACTCTTTAATTTCCAAGATATTACCTGCCAGTCCTATTATAACCAAAACAGCGTACATTTTCTAAAAGCAATTGTACAGTTAATATGCTGATCATTTATGTTAACTTCAAATATTTTGATAAATTCAGTAGTGCTTTGGGGACACTTTAAAAGGAATATTTTCACTA